CGTCTTGAGTTCCCAAGTTAAGTCAGTCTCTGTTTATCGATATTTTTACTGTAAACGAGCCAGATAAAAGCCCAATGCTGAAAGGAAGAAAAAAAAATACTTTAAAGTGAGTACTTACGGCTTTCTTTTTTGTCATTTTAATTACACTGGACAATTTCCTTGCTTTCTTCGATTTAATGAGCTTTAATGCATGCACGAATCGAATGCACGCAAGTAAGCTCGTAACTACACTGTAAGTACAAAGTTTCTTAATGATAGGCGGCCAAAATAGTTTTCTGCTGAGTGGTCCTGCTTCTATGCAAATTATGTTAAAGTAATAACTTTCGTACATGTTAAAGTGAATGGTTCTATTGAAAAAAATATACCTTAATTTTGTATAGGTAACCACATGATTTCGAGTACAATTTGGAATAAATAAGAACGAGTACATTTTTCAAAGACCAACAAAAGTACACGATCCCGTAAGGCGAGTGCACTTTGTGGTCTTTGAAAAATTTTCAAGTGCTTATTCATTCCAAATTGCACGAGAAAAACCATGTGATTACTTATTAATAATATACGCGAAAAACATAAATACAACAACAAATTTTGACAGCGCGCGCGTTTTTAGTTCATTCAGCTGATTGGCTGAAACAGCAATTACCTTTGTGAAATTCAAACTTTTTCAAGACCAACGCTTTCAAAATCATTCAGCTAAGAACTTGGAAATATGCAAGGATTGATTTTACATGGTCACCATCCTGTTAAAGATAACTCGGTTTACAATAATCAGAAAAAGTAAGTGTTTGATTACCAGAGCTCGGCGTTTACAAGAAGCATTTACAAGAAGTATACTCCCGTTTTGAAATCAGGAGAACGCTTCGAGCAGTCAAAGATAAAAGACACTTGCTGAGTTGTTTAACGACTGTTCAATGTTCATCATTGTCTGTTCCTGAGACCCCATCATAGCTGGGTTCATGGAGAAACTTGTGAGATTTAAAACCCGAAAATGAAGCAGGCAATTTGTTTTCTTTCGACTCTATCATCGATGGGTGAGTGGAGCCACAGTCGGAAACTGCCAGTATTAATGTAATATTTGCTTTTTCTCAGCGCTGGGGTTTTCATAATTCCATTTGGCCTGCTGCAAGAGAGAGTCATCGTCGCTCTTCTTCGTCGGCTTCATCGTAGTCGTTGAGGAAATTTATACCCCTGTGGCCTGAACTTACAATCATTGCTTTCTTCAGCTTGCTCACTGTTGGTTTTCTTGCACGACGATTCCTAAACTTTGTTCGCACTTTCTTTAGGCTAGTACCAGCTACGGATACTTTCATTGTGTTAGTTATGATATTTTCGCCCATTGGTTTAGTTTGAACCAAATGTTTAAATTTTCGGTTTCTTTTGCTACTGAGGTACAAAAAAAACAGACCATCTCATGGATGTTTTAATAGAGGTCTTCGCTCGACAAAAGACTTAAAGAGAGCAACCGGACACCAGTCTTCTGCAACAGGTAACGTACGTGACTTGAAATCCCTGTTGTTATCATGGAAAACTTGAATGTATCCTTGTCCATTTAAATGCCTGAAAATTAGTGTAGCTGTTCTAGCTTGCGTGTGGTTGCCACCGTTTTTGTTCCTTATTTTTTACTTTAGCGTACTCCTTTATAAGTAGCTTGTTTAGTTTCTCTGGCTTATTTTCCTCGACGTTGTTGACACTATTTTTCTTGTTTTCAATACATTTAGACAGAAAGACGTACTTCAATTTACTGTGTTCGGGTTTTTAGAATATATTTTTTTTAACTTTTGTATTGTTGTTTTGCGTACAAAATCAAATCGTTGTTTGCTGAAAACCGTGGCAATTTTCTTAAATTTTGTTGTTAAAACAGCTGTAATCTGAATAGTTCTTGGTGGTTTCTTTTGTGTTTTTCAGCCAATCAGAAACCATTTGTAATTTGCACTCGTGTTACAGAAGAACTGCACTCCTTTCTCAGCCAATCAGAATTGAGTAATTTTTTCGTGTATATCATTAAGCCTCCTAAGCTATTTTGAAATACATGGGGCAGTTGTAATTTGTAATAACAGATTTTCTGTAATCATTTTTAATTTGTGTATTTTTTGTATCCTTCTTCTGACTATTGTATTAAAACGGTGTTAACGAAATGATTCCTTTTTGTATGTGTTAGTTTTGTCGTTAATGCATTACATGACTGTTGTATACTTTTTATATGAAAGTTACTGATATTGTTCCGACTATAAAATTACTGTACATGATATAAGATATATATCATAACGGTAACAAAATTCTTGAAAGATCCTGTGCTTTATACAAAAAATCAAATAGACTCTCATAATCACATCTTAAATTTTGTTATAGTTATGATTAATTGGTAACAGAACCTTGTGTAATCCAGTTGGGTCTAATCATACAGTTACTTGTGATTAGAGAAATTAAACGAACACAATTCTGTTTAGATCACTTGTATGTATGATTACCGACTGAATTGTACTCCACTCATTTGAGCCACATGCAGATGTCAAGTACCTGCTTTCAATGTGCTGTTACTCGCTGGCATTGGTGATAATCCACATCAATAACGTTCAATATTTTGTTTTAATTTTGAACACTGACTCTCTGGTAGCATGAATCCAGTAATACAATTACATTGGCAAGATATGTAAAAATTTATTCAAATTTAAGTCACGCGGAACTCTTCCTTTAATAAATTCAGGGTTTCATTCAGGGTTAAGTTGCCCTGGGTACCAGAGGTTTTTTCTCGCGTTTGACGAGGAGCTTAATCGGTCGTCGACACGTCTTCGGCCGAAGGCCGAAGAGACGAGCGGCGAAGGCGCGAGAAAAAACCTTTGGCACATAGCGCCTTGATTTACCGTGCTAGATGGACCTTGACCTTGTTTCTAATCTGTCAATCAAACCGGCGGTCGCAAGACTGTTTACGCTAATTCAAAAGTAATCACCAAGGGAGGAAAGACGCGCTCCAGCAAAAGGAGTCACATTATCTTGAGAAAAACAAACTGGAGTTTGAAAATCAT